GGGGTGTGTTAGCTCTAAGTCCTCCACCGCCCAATGGGGGGCTTTAGTATTTTTTTTGGCCAGCATGGGGGAGGCTAAAGTATCCTTCGGATCAAAGACAGAAACAGCAGCAGAAGAAAATTGGACGCGTCTACCAAGGCTATTACCTTGTACTCTAGTTCGTTTAGGAGAACTTTCACCATTTTCCTCCTTGTTTTGGCTACCATGATTTTGATCCTCATTTCTTGACAAGAATCTCTGGGCCCCTAGCCCTCCGTTTTTTGTTTTGAGGAAGGTCATCTGGCTCAAACGCTTTGCTCTCTTCCACTCCTGCATGTTTTCCTCCTCCCCGTCGACTTCGTCCTCCTTTCTTCCCTTTCCCTTCCCTTCGTCTCCGTCACTCCTAAAAGGTTTACCCTCATCACTATCGTTGTCGCAGAGATTTCAACCAAGTGGCCCTGGTAGAAGCTGGTCGATCAGTAGCCCATGACGTTTGAACACATCGCGAGTTCGCATCGACAGAAAACGAGCTAGCTCGAACGCAAACCGTCTCCGAATCCTGTTAGTATGAAAAGCTTTCGGGCGATCTAAGGCTNTACTATCGTTGTCGCAGAGATCCCAACCGATTGGCCCTGGTGGAAGTTGGTCGATCAGTAGCCCATGACGTTTGAACACATCGCGAGTTCGCATCGACAGAAAACGAGCTAGCTCGAACGCAAACCGTCTCCGAATCCTGTTAGTATGAAAAGCTTTCGGGCGATCTAAGGCTCTTTCGCCGTCAAAATTCCCCCGGCAAAAAGCTTCGTGCGCCAAGCGGTTGGCGATAGCAACGATGAGTCCATTGGTGCCTTTGCCAAGACCACCATTCGTTGAAAAAGCAGCAGTAAGGAGGGTAAATCTGTTTGCGGCCTAGGCAACATATTCATCGGGTGAGACTGTTCCGGTGATGTATCAACTTCACGAGAGGTAGACGATCGTCCTTCACATGGACGAAAGAGGGGGTGCTCAAAGAGCGGCTCCCAAACCAAGGAGGGGCCCCGTGAATCATCGCGGGGCCCCCTAGCAAACGGTAATCTTACCAGTCCGCGTGACACTAAGTCATCCAGCACATGTGTCAAACACCAATGTTCGCAGACCCATGAACACCCTCCCTGGTTCNACATCTAGATGTGTATAAGAGACAACATATGGAGGGGAAACCCGGCGTCCGGGCAAAACCCCTCGAAAAAAACCTACCACCACAAAAACCGTCGCTATCACAGCGGATCACAACGGCCGCACTTACTAGAATGGCCAAGGCGAAGAGAAGAACGCGAGGAACTACGTTCCCCCGGACGATGGTCTCCCAACGCCCCCTACTCCTACCATTGGTAGACAGACCGCAACAGTTATGCGCCTTTCCCCGCATGGAAAACATGACCTCTTCCAAGTGCTAGAAACTGCTACAGCTACTCCGGCGAATTCATCAACTTGCGCCGGTGGTACTGCAGACTAGCCCTGCTAAGGACCTTGGTTAGAGGGTCCGCGTGTTGCTCCGTTGTCGGAACGAACTTGACCGAAATATCCCCCGACCTAAACAATCCTCGGATGAAATGAAATCTCACGTCCATGTGTTTCGTGCGACCTAAGCTGATGGGGTTCTGCACCAACGCTATGGCCCCCTGGTTGTCCTCAAGGACCTGGATGCTGCTACCACTGGTCTCTGGGGCAACAAACGAAAGCACAGCACGCACAAACAACGCCTCCTTGACGCCCTCCCCGGCAGCAATGTATTCGGCTTCCGTCGAATACAAAGACACGATGCTCTGTGTCTTGCTACCATGGCTGACGACGATACCTCCAACCGTCGTCGCCAACCCTGACACCGAACGTTTATCCTCCGTGTCGGCGTAGCTAGCGTCTACGTACACGGCCAACCTAACCCCGATCCCTGTTGGTAGGTGATGCCGAGGCCCCTCGTCTCCTTCAAGTATCCGAGGATCTTCCGGATGGCATCCCAGTGCCTCTTCGCCGGGGCGTGGGCGTGGCGCGCTACCGCGCGCACGGCGAACGAGACGTCTGGACGCGAGAACGTTGACACCCACGTCATGCTGCCGATGGCCTCCCTCACCGGCCACTCCCCTCCCTTCTCGTCATCTCGCTTCGGTCCTAGGTCGACACCAGCGGAAGTAGGGATGCGGGAGGTCGACTGTTCATCAAAGCGTTTCACCATGCTGTCGATGTACGCGGTTTGCGAGATTTTAAGAGTCCCAGCCTCTACATCTCTCTCAATGGCACATCCGTCAAACCATTCGCACTCTCCCAGATATTTGGTGGGAAATGTCTTGTTGAAAGAAGCAAGCAACTCCTCGCAATCCTCGTCAGACCCGGCCACCAAAATGTCATCCCTGCCTTGTTGGTCTTTCAACTAAACACCACTTTGAGCCCACAGGCCTGCGCCCCTCTGGCGCGCCGTCTACGAATGAAAATGTCCCCGTGCCCAAGTGCCCTTCAAACTCTT